TGCAATTATTTTACATATCTCTGCACATAAGCTGATTTACAGAATAGAAGACATTTGGAAATGTGTATATGTGTGTTTATGTGGGCACTGCAAAGCATTTCTATATCCCCTCCCCAAATACGCTATTATATTTATATCTCTGGTCTGTCCATCCATCCATCCATCTGTCCATCTGTCCATTTGTCCATCCGTCCATCATGCCCCTGGCCAAGAATAGCTTGTGCTCTACATAGTGTTCGTGGGAAAGATTCACAAGCAAAAAGGGGGGAAATGAAATGGATGAGGTTGTGGGTAACAGGAGATGACAACTGGGAAACTGAGTCAGGGCTATACTGAGACCACATACCCAGTTTTCTGTGTAGGAAACAGATGCTGGATATAGGTCTTCCTGCTTATTCCTGGGACAAGGATCTGTACAAACTATGTTACCCTCTTCTATTCAGGAGTTCCAGAATGAGTAAAATGGTTGGAGACTCGTACTTTCATTGTCATAATCGTGACAAGTTATTTACACCATTTTCTGGTGAGGGGAGCAGGAAGGATGTGGGAACACCTCTTGAATCTATCGGCTCCCCTGCAGCTTCTTGGAATAGTGGAAAGCAGCCTTCTCTGTGGTCCCATAGCTATCACCAACCCTTGCAATAGGTTGGCTCTTCACACACAAAAATGCATTTTTTGTAGATTAAGAAAAGAATCTACAAAAAATGCATTTTTGTGTGTTTTAAGAAAAGTTTGGCACTTTAGACAGCTGCCTAGCTTACCTATATGGACAGTGCCAGAGAGGGCTGGACATAGATGCTAAGGGAGCCATGGAAACCCTGAAGTATCAAAATCTGAAAAGCAAAGTTGAAGGATTATGGCATGAAGTAGTTGTGGTGGCCGCAGTAGTTACCAGCACAACCAAAAGAATTTCGGATGACACTTTGAGAATCTGTACATATATATATGAAAGATTACAAAAAATACAGCTATCCAAGTTAACAAGAAACAAAGCAAAAAAGGAGGGAAAGGGGAAATATGTTTAGGTCACACCTATTAATCAAATCTGAAACAACATTAGGCTCACACTACAAAAGTCTGATTGTAATTCTTATTGCAACAAATGGATCAACACTTGACTCATTTGAAAAACATGGATTCCGCACTTGCAGGAAAACACCAGGAAGACAAAAAAATAAAATGCTAACCACCTTTCTGTAAAAAAAATAAAAATAAAAATTATGATTCTGTAACATTGCAAGATATAAAATCTATGTCATAAAACAGTGCTGGATTTAGACCAAAAATAGATAAGTTATAGCTTAGGGTCTTACAAAATTTCAGATTTTTTTTTTTTGCTTTTAAATTTTTATGTAGCTCTTTATGTGTACTGTAATCTGTGAGAGAGATCAAGCCAGACAAACAATAAATGCTAAACATAAATCAACTTATTCTGCTCATCTTTCCTGTTACCTGTTCCAATGGATATCTTATGATTTATCACTTTGTTGTTTGTACCTTATGATTTATGACTGTATCATGATTTATGATTTATCACTTTGTTGCTTGTGTGCGCACCGAGAGCTTATGAACCAAAGACAAATTCCTTGTATACCCAGTCACACTTGGCCAATAAATAACCTATTCTATTCTATTCTATTCCATTCCATTCCGTGATCATATCATATCTAAAATCAAAATTTGTCATCCACGTTTACATCCTCCCAATTCCCTCTATGGACAAGTGCCTGGATTTCAGTAAAGATTTAGGTGTAGCACTGTTCTGGGACAATTACTACTTAGCCAGCAGCTTTCTGAAGTCCAGACTTCGTCAGCTGGAAAGGGTGGAGATGCAAGAAAGGAAATGATGATGGGGCTGGATGGGCAAGGCATGGGACTGGGAACTTTTCTAGGTTGGCTGCTTGGATTTGTTACACTAAACCTTTTCCAAGAAATGGAGGAAGAAAAAAAATTACAGCAGTTATATGCTACTTTCCTGCACCTACATTTGAAGAGATCATAACAAAGCTGCCTTGAGTATGAGGGAGCGTAAAAAAGAAAATTGACCCTACACAAATCAATAAATGAAACAGCAGCATAAAAGCAAGGCTACTGACCAGAGCATCACTGTTATATATGATACAGCAACAGTTTTAAAAATGCACATAAATAAAACACCAGCCATGTTTCAGAAGTTTTGAAGTGTTTCGTTTCCATCTGGCCATTTCTGGGATGGAGAGATTTGTGGGGGGAGGGACCCCTGATAGAATATTCTTATCTTCCAAAGTGAAAAGACAGGATAAGTAAGAGTTTGGTGGCCAAGCAAGTGGACTTGGAGTAGAAAATCCTCCACTGGGAGAATCTGCTAAAATGGTTTTTGCTTACTAAGGAGTTATGCCTACACATAGCCAGACTAAGGGAATGATGGGAACCTTACTTTCCATTTAAGTATGTCTATCAAAAGAATGATTTGCTCAAAAAATATTTTGTTAGATCTTATTGATGCTTTGAGGTTTTCAAGCTAAACCAACACTTAATTGCCACTGGGCCCTGCTGGCTTGAAAAATCCCTCAAGGTGCAAGAATGAAGTACCAGCCAACATTCTTGTAGAAGTGACCAAGCTGACTTGGCAGTTTGGTAAGTTAAATGGGTGGTCATCTTTGTGGGGTGGACTTTTAGTGAACAGAATTCAGGCTGGGGTGGGAGCTCGGCAGGATGGGTCCCCTTGCAAAAGTTCAGGGATCCTGGCCAGCTTCTGTTTACACAAAAGTGGGGCTTGCTGCTGTGACCCATTGCCCAGGTCGACAGCCTTGCTCCCTGCTCTGGTTTCCTTGATCAGAAGCTGATTCCTTCATGTTGCTGGGGAAGGGAAACTGCAAGAGGTTGGGTCTCAAAGGAAGAAAGTGAGCCGGGGCAGCACTTGATGATGGCTGTCTTCATAAGAGGCTGATCTGGAATCCTACCACCAGTTTAACTGAGTAGGGCATCATATGATATTTTCAAGGCTCCGCAAGATTTCTAAAACCAAGGAATTGTGCTAAGTAATTCATTTGCGTGGTTTTCCATTATGGGCCTAGAGGGTAATAAATGCAAAATATATTGAAAAACATGGATTTCACTTTTAGGAATGAATGCATCTGAGTTTCTTATCCTGGTTTTTCCATAGAAGGTCCACATTAAGTTTAGTATTTAGCTTTGTTGCTTCCAGGACTGGCTACCCAGTGGTCCCAACAGAAGCCCATGGACCAAACCCACTTTCCTTTTCAAAGGACTGTTCTATACCTTATTGGGGTGGGGCATGGTATATGCTGGACAGTTTGTTTTAGCATGATGCTCCTTCAATTCATTTCCTTTCCACCTCATTTGGGTCCACATGTCTATCTGGCAGTCAGAAAATGTGGCATAAGAGTAAATTTGTAGAAACATTTTTTGTGGGGTTTTTGATGAATGACTGAGAGCCCAAAGGCTCTTAAGAACATGCTACAGTACTGATGTGATGATCTAGATACAGAAGTCATAAGCAACTCAGCAGAGGATCAGAACAGGGGCTTGTAAGAAGATTATCACAGTTATAGAAGAGGCTGGGAAGCCATCTTTATCCACTTGCCCTTTCCTCCAAGCAAGATGAGGCTAACAGGATTGAGCAGGTGGGCAACCCCATTATTGGAAGCATACAGACATACAAGGAAATCTTACGAAGAACTGGATTTTGACTCCAGGAAAAATTGGGATTAATGGAGTTCAGGTATGGTTATGCATGATAGGTGTGCAGCATATTGATTTTAATCTGGCTGCTGTTGTGTTTATTTTATTTTATTTATTTTATTTTGTTAAGCGATTATAAGATAGCAGGTATAAGCATGGTTATGAATACTTGAAATGGATACATATAAGAAAAAAAAACGTGTTGCCATGAATTAGCAAATGGAGAGAGAAAAGTGGAGAAGAAACTCAATCAAAGGGTAGTTCTGATGCCATAGGGATTCATGAGCTAGCCAGAGCTGTTATGGGGAGATGTCGAGGTAGCAGCACATTGTTCTGGTATATAGGTGTTAGAGTCTGGAGCCCTGGAGGACATCTGCCACTTTCACTGCTAGGGGATACAGTGCTGATCTGCCCCAAAATTGGAAAGAGGGAGAAGGGGGAAAAAAAGAAGGGGGTAAAAAAACAATACAGAACTGGCTGGAGAGAAAAGTTGAAGTTACATGAGTGTGCAGAGCAGTCATCAGTTCTTGAGTGGTGAGGAAGAAGAAAGATCCATGGGTGACTTTCCAGGAAGAATAGAAGCAAAGACCCAAAGAGATGACATCTTCACCCAAGATGGGAATGAAGAAAGGGGTCATTGGTCATTGGCGAGGTCCTGGTCTCTGGAGAAGGACTGGGCAAAAGAGCCTGAAAGAGATAACCCTAACCCAACAGAGAAGTAGAAGATGATTCTTTGAGTGGTTCCAGGAGGAGTCAAGCTACGACTGAACACAAGACAGTAAAATTCCAGCCCATTGCTTTCTTTTCATTCTCTCTTGATAAGCTCAGAAACAGGGGACGGAGATGGAGAAAATAGAGAGCCCGTGGGAGAGGTTGAAAGGAGTAGACTCGGAGAGAAGGTGAACCACAGGATTCACCTTGCTGTTGTAAATCCTGTTGTAAATCCTTGTTGTAAATAGCTCTGCCATTTAAAAAGCATAAAAGCCCCTACTGTCTTGTTTTTCTGTGTTAATTGCCTCCCTTGCAAAGCAAGATACACCTCCAGTTCAAAAATAATCCCATTCACACTGAGAGAAGGTATTTCCCCTTCTTTTAAACTTGCTTTAAAAATTGTTTTATGTTTTTATTATAGTTCGCTGCCCAGAGTTCCATTGGTTAGGTAGATAGCAGTATACATTTTTTAAACAGGCAAACAAATAAATAACTTTAAATATTCATGTTTCCAACTGCAGGAATGACAGTCTACCCTGGGATGTGCTGATGATATGGCCTCTGCTTTCTACAACACCTGTCTCAGCCCATCTAGCTTCTTTCACATGGGCGTTCCTCAACTGGAAACAGTCCATGCATTGCTGTCCATTCCCTTTGGCTCCATGTACATCATGGCAGTGTTGGGGAACTGCACCATCCTCTTCATCCTCAAGGCAGAGCCCAGCCTCCACCAGCCTATGTACCTGTTCCTTTCCATGCTGGCTGTAACTGTCTCCGCCTCTGCTCTGCCCAAGCTGCTCGTCATCTTCTGGTTCAACAGCCAAGGAGATTGGCTTCGACTCATGCCTGCTCCAGATGTTCACCATTCATTCTTTTGCCACTGTTGAATCAGGGATTTTCCTGGCTATGGCTTATGACCGTTATATGGCAATATGTACCCCATTAAGACACAAGACCATCTTAACCAATTCAACTGTTGTTAAGATCGGGGTGGCAGCTTTCATGAGAGGCGTCCTCTATATCTCGCCCCTTCCTTTGCTTGTGAGGAGACTGACTCACTATCACACCAACATCATCACACATTCTTATTGTAAGCACATGACTGTGGTGATGCTTTCCTGTGACAACACCTCCATCAGAAACATCTATGGCATGGCAATTGGCTTTCTGGTGCTCATCATTGATTTACTGGGTATTGGTCTGTCTTATGCATTGATTCTCCTGGCAGTGATGAATTTAGACACAGCAGAGGCCCGGCTCAAATCTTTTAGCACTTGTAGTTCCCACATTTGTGCCATCTTAGCTTTCTACATCCCCGCAGCAATCTCCTCCCTGACCCATAGGTTTGGCCACCAGGTGTCTCCTCCAATTCACATTCTTCTGGCCAACTTCTATCTCATCTTTCCCCCTGCCTTAAATCCTATTGTTTATACTGTTCAGACTCAAATAATGCAGAAGAAGTTAGTCAAGATGTTATCCTGGCCCAAAGGCCTTTTGTAAGCTTTTTAGAAAGGTATTTTTGTTGTCCTTTAATGACTTTTAATGAATTAATCTCAATCCTGAGCTGTCTAGATATTAATGTTAATGTCCTGACATGATGCCTGGAGGTTGTTTGAGTCTACATGGGGTGAATAGGCTCAGGGAACTCAGATCTGCCAATGCCAAGTAGCTGTAATTATTTGGACTCCCCTGGAAATGGAGATTTAGAGAGTGATAATCATTGGTCTTAGGTGGGATGCTACTTTCCCATTCAAACTGAGGACCCTCTTGGACTCATTATTCCTGCTTAGGAGCCTGTGGCACTGTAACTAAGAAAGTCCAACTGATCCAATTGATGCACCAATTGTTCCTACTCCTAGAACAGGAGTCCTTTCAGATGATCACTTATGCACTAGTCATGTCATCATTGGACTATTGCAATTGATTTTACACTGAGCTGCTCTTGAAACCATCTAGAAGCTACAGCTGGCCCAAAATGCAGTGATGCACATCATGATGACCTGTTATTTATTTATTTATTTATTTTATTTGTCAATTGTTTACGAGATAAGTAAAAGTGTATACATAATTATGAATACATGAAATGAGTACATATAAGAAAAATAAAAGAAAAATAAAAGAAACAATAGGACAGGGACGGTAGGCACGTTGGTGCGCTTATGCACGCCCCCTACAGACCTCTTAGGAAAGGGGTGAGGTCAATAGTAGACAGTCTAAGGTTAAAGTTTTTGGGGTTTGGGGAAGAAACTACAGAGTCGGGTAGAGTATTCCAGACATTGACCACTCTGTTGCTGAAGTCGTATTTCCTGCAATCAAGCTTGGTGCGGTTAACCTTGAGTTTGTATCTGTTGTGTGCTCTTGTGTTGTTATGGTTGAAGCTGAAGTATTCATTGACAGGTAGGACATTGCAATGTATGATTTTATATACCATGCTTAAATCAGACCGAAGACGGCGTAATTCAAGGTTTTCTAGTTCTAGAATTTCAAGTCTGGTGGCATAAGGTATTCTACAACGAGTAGAGGAGTGGAGAACTCTTCTTGTGAAATATTTCTGGACTTTCTCAATTGTGCTAATATCAGATACGTAATGTGGGTTCCAGACTGATGAGCTGTATTCGAGTATTGGTCTAGCAAATGTTTTGTATGCTCTAGTTAGTAGTGTGATATTACCAGAGAAAAAGCTACGTAAGATTAGGTTAACAACTCTTAATGCCTTTTTGGCTATGTAGTTGCAGTGGGCACTAGCACTTAGATCATTAGAGGTGAGTATTCCAAGGTCCTTTACAGAGCTTGGATCATCAACAAGATCTTGACTATTCAGCTTGTATTTTATTTTCGGATTTTTTTTGCCAATATGTAAGACAGAGCATTTATTTGTTGAGATTTGAAGTTGCCATTTGTTTGACCATTCTGATACACAGTCAAGATCTTTTTGAAGGGTAGCAGTATTGTCTGTGATATTGAACAGCTTTACATCATCAGCGAAAAGAACGCAGTTGCTCTTAATATGATCACAGAGGTCATTTATGTAGAGTATGAAGAGAGTTGGTCCTAGAACACTGCCTTGGGGGACACCACTATTGACAGGTACAGAATTTGATAGGACACTCCCAATTTTGACCATTTGTTGTCTGTTTGACAGGAATGCTTCTATCCAGTTATGCAGTTGTCCAGAGATACCATAGGATTTTATTTTTAGTAGTAGTTTGTCATGTACCACTGAATCAAAGGCTTTACAGAAGTCTATGTAGATTGCATCTATTGTTTTGCCCTGATCAAGTTGTGTAGTCCATATGTTTTTGCAGTGTAAGAGTTGCAGATTACAGGATAGTTTTTTTCTGAAACCAAATTGTTTATTGGAGAGTAGGTTGTTTGTCTCTAAGTGGAGGATAATGGATTGGTTAATAATTGATTCCATGACTTTACAGGTGACGCAGCATAAGGAGATTGGTCTGTAATTTTCAACTAGGCAAGGGTCTCCCTTTTTGAAGATGGGGATGACTGTGGCTTGTGACCATAGGTTAGGCAAGGAACTGGTCCTGAAAGATTTTTCAAAGATTATGCTTAGAGGTTTGGCTATGGCAGTGGATAACTTTTTTAAGAAATAGGCACATATTCCGTCCGGTCCAATAGATAGGGATGGTTTTAGATTGCGTAGTGCTTTTTCAACATTGTCTTCTGTAAAATCGATATGTATTAGATCACTGTAGTTATCTGTGGTTCGGCTAGGAAATGCTGGGCATGATCCATTGCTGTTTACAAATACTGAGCCAAAAAATGTGTTAAAGATGTTGGCTTTAATGGTGTCATCGTTGCAGTCTTTACCATTAGGTCCTGTCAGGGGTGGGATGGACCTTGAATCTTTTAGTTTGTTGTTTACAAAATTGTAAAAAGCATTGGTGGAATTGGTGCTTAGAAGGTTTTCCTCTTGTTTAATGTGATAATTGGTGCATTCAGTCTTTATTTGGTGGCATAAATTTTTGTATCGGCTTTTGAAATTGGCAACGTGACCAGATTTGTTTTTCCGCCAGAGTGATCTCTTTTTGGATTGAAGTTTCCTTATTGTTATGGGCAATCTGTTTTTTTGTTTTGTTTTGGGAGTAGTTGTTGGTACATATAGTTTGATGACTCTTTTGACTTCAAGTAAAAATATGTTGTAATGGTCTTCAACAGTGTTGCATCCAGTGAATAGAGATTGCCAATCAAGGGATGAGAGATCGTTGTTTATAAGATCATAGTTGCCTTTTTTGAAATTATAATTGGGGATCACATCATTGTGGTGGTTTTTGTGTGGACGTATGTTGAGACAAAAGTCAATCATATTGTGGTCACTGCTGGAAAAGGGTTCTTTAGTTTGTATTCCGTAAATTAAATTCAAACTATTGCAGAAGATGAGATCGAGGCAGTTGTTTAGTCTAGTGTTGTTGGATACTAGTTGTTCCAGTCCCAGATTTGTAACAGCATTGTAAAAGGTTGCATGTATGGTTTCAGTTGTACATTCATTTAGGGTCCAGTCAATATGAGGCAGATTGAAATCACCAAGAAAGATAAAAGGGTATGGGCAGGATGCTGCCCATGTTAGTAGTGTATTTAGCTTGTTTACATGTTCGATGTCGTAATCAGGTGCTCTGTAACATAGTAAGAATCGAATTGTGATATTTAAGGATAGTTCACAGATAATGGTCTCAGGAAGAGCAAGCTCCTGGGTAACTTGGATATTTTTTAGATGTAAGGACTTTTTGTAGAAGATAGCAACACCACCTCCTCTACGAATTTCACGATCTGATCGGTAAACATGATAGTCTCTTACTGTGGTAATGGAGTCAGGGAGAGATGCATTGAGCCATGTTTCACAGACAAATATAATGTCGAATTTAGCCATATTTAGTAGGAGGAAAAATTCAGGTATTTTATTTACAAGGCTTCTTGCATTGAGTAGCTTGCATTTAAGGCCAGCAGTAGTTGGAATTGAGGTAGTTAGGGGCATACGTGCCTAGTCTTGGGTGATGGTGGATTGGTTGAGGTAGGGTTGTGGTTGAAGGTTAAAGCTGAGTTGCGGGATGTGTGACTTACTTTTGATACAGTCAGCATGGTAGTCAATGTACAGGTCCTTCTCTCCATTGTCGAGACGTTTTTTGAGTTCAGTGCGGAGTACACGGGAGCGGGCACGTTGCTGTATGGTTAGGTCAGGGCGACAACGGAGGTTCTTATAGTTGGTGTTGGTTTTGGCGAGTGAATTTATAGTGTAAATGAATTTGCGTTTGCTTGATTCATTTTTGCAATGATCAATCTATGTATCATCTGTGCTTCATGAGTTGTATTGGTTACCATTTCTGGGTGTAATTCAGTGTGCTGGTTATCACATATAAACCGTTGACATGCCATGGATCATAGTTTCAACAAACATACAACTACATGATTGGAAGTATATCTGGCCAACGGAGTCTCTTTTAGGTTAACTCCCCTCTTATCTCCTCCAAGTCAGCCAGAGCAATTTCTATCTTTGTGATCACAATGCCCATCAAATTGGAATATACTGAAGCCAATGTTTTGGCTTCAAAGTCTTGCAGTTTTTTCTTAGTTCACATTCCCACTAGTTGTCCCCAGCTCCCTTCTGGAAATGTGTACCTGAAACCTGATGGATAAGGAAATTTAGTCACAGATATGGTGGTTACCACTGGAGCAGGTCTGGTCACTTTTCTAAAGGAATATGTGGGATATATTTGCTATGCCCACAGTGCCAGTTACCAAATCCAATTTATTTCCAGTTATTCCAGTCTTCCAGTGCTGCAGTCCAGAATAACAAACAATACTGAAAATGTTGATGCTTGCCATGGCAACCTCCAACCAATGAGGTATGGAGGAGCCAGTAATGTCACAAAAATGACTTTAATTTGGCCTGGACCTGTTAGTTGAATAATAATAATAAAATGGTTGCATCTGTATGATGGCCTGGCCTATTAATTTATTGGCAAACTATCAAGGTTTTTTTGCAAGTAAGCTTAAATTAGCTTCAACTAGAATTGTCTGTTGAATCACTTTCTCTATGAATTTGCTTTTTTTTTTTTAGCAATTAGCTAAACACCTTCTCTGACACTTCACTGAAGAAGCTAAAGAAGCTGACCATAAATGCTTCAGTTATAGGAAGTGTTAATCTAACTGGCTAATTGTGGTTTTATTACAGTGCTGAACAATTTTGTAAGGGGCCCATTACCTGGAATAAGGAAAGGCAACAGGAAATTTAGCTTAAGTTGCTGGACAAATGCCCCAAGATAAAGATCTTATCATTAGCATGCTAAAAAGCATACCTAGAGGTGAAGAACTTACTAATTAAGTGCACATACACACACACACACACACACACACACACACACAGCATATTATAACATGTTAGCCTTAAATTGCACATGTCTTCAGTAAAGGAAGAAATTATGAAATATCAGAAAATTCTGGTGCATATGTGTGGTTTTAACGCTATAAAAACAGACTTCCAAAGATCA